CTGCTCACGCCACTTGTGTGTCACTGCACACACTACGTCCTTGACGGTACCCAAGGGTAACATTACCCAAATTGGGTAATATGACACAATGTTCAAAAATAGGAAGAACGGCACACTTACCCATGCCCATCCATCGACAGTGTGGAAAGCTTTGATGGGGCTATTGGAGTGAGGAAGAACTCCGAGCTGCTATTGCTTCAGCTCAGCTCCCTTGAGTCGCGTCCCGCCAGACCGTGCTGCTCTGGACTCATTTCTCTTACTTTCTCAAGCACGATCCCTTGGGTTCTGCTCCTTTGCCCCTAATGGATCTACTAAAGCCGCTGTGTGTCCAAGCACTTAGAATTACCCGATTGAATGGTGTAACATTTGAAACTGGAAAATATTAAAAACGCAGGATTGTCAAAGAATGGGAAAGAGAACATCAGATCTAGATTTGAAGGTACTTTAGCTACTTCATAGCAAGGCAAATCACCGCGATGAAACTTCTTTCTAGTTTTCCTCCCACTATCAGTGAATTATAGGCGAAAGTGGTGTGGCAGGTAGCACGCTCACCACGCGGTTCTGGTTACAGATCCTAGATCGACCAGGCTCACCAAGAATTTTTCCTTCAGGACGGTGAATTGGTACCAGATTCGTCTGGGAGGATAAAACACTGACTTGTACATCGGCTGGCCACCGCAAGTCATTGTATAGGCCACATCGCATTCAATAAGCCACTACGATTCTGAATGGAAGTAGAATGCGTGCCGCACCGCAAAAAAAGGGTTGATCAACGGCGGAGACTTTATGTCATCAGGCTACATATGAAGTGGTTCGCTGCGGACGGTTGGGCGTGTCAGGCGGGATGAGTTTGGCGCGGTGCCAAACCCGTTCTCCACCAGTTGTTAAAGCGAGCAAGTGATATGACTGTATCATATCGTTCGTATTACTCGTTTTCTACCACTTTTTGTCGCTTCAACAAGAAGGCAGAGAACGGCTTTGACGGCGTGACACACTCATACTGCCTGACACGCCCAACCGTCCGCAGCGAACTAGAGTATACACCCTCTCTCTACTATATGTTCACAGTAGATGGGCTTTGCAGTCGTTTATTGAGGACTGCTTGATCGAGGCGGTTAGTGGTAGAATGCTTACAAAAGAGGGCGTAACTCTAACATCAGGCGGGGCCGCGCCTGGTCTATCTAATCTGCTCAGCAAGGGTCATAAG